GTCATGTATGTTCAGACTTAGCAATGTTTAGGGAATTAAGGCCTGTTTCTGGTGTGACTGTAACTTTGCCAAATGGTACTAGGGTTTCTATTACTCATATAGGTACTATTCATATTACTCATAAACTCATACTGCATAATGTTTTGCATGTTCCAGATTTCAAGTTTAATTTGATCAGTGTTAGTTCTTTGGTAAAAACTTTATCATGTTCAGCTCATTTCTATGTTAATTGTTGCTTTATCCAGGAACTTTCTCAGGGCTTGATGATTGGGAGGGGTAGACTTTATCACAATCTTTACATTCTTGAGACAGAAACTACTTCCCTCTCCACATCAACACCTGCAGCTTGTTCTTTTTCTGGATCAGTTCTTGATGATGGACTTCTTTGGCACCAGCGTTTAGGTCATCCATCATCTATAGTTTTAAAGAAACTTGTTAGTAGCATTCCCTCTTTAAAATCTTTTGATTCTGAAACTTCACCTTGTTGCATTTGTCCTTTAGCAAAACAGAAACGTCTAGCATACATATCTCATAACAATTTAGCTTCAAACCCATTTGATCTTGTTCACTTGGATATATGGGGTCCTTTTAGTGTTGAATCTATAGAAGGATTTAGATATTTTCTTACTTTGGTTGATGATTGTACAAGAACTACTTGGTTTATATGTTAAGAAATAAACAAGAAGTTTCAAAAGTCTTTCCTGTTTTTGTCAAACTTGTTTCTACACAGTTTAATACAAAGATTAAAGCTATTCGTTCTGATAATGCACCTGAATTAGGATTTAATGATTTAGTAAAAGAACAAGGTATGATTCATTACTTCTCTTGTGCTTATACTCCCCAACAAAACTCTGTTGTGGAGAGAAAGCATCAACATCTTCTTAATGTTGCAAGAGCTTTACTTTTTCAGTCAAATGTTCCTATGCAATATTGGAGTGATTGTGTTTTAACTGCAGTTTTCTTGATAAATAGATTACCATCACCTCTGCTAAATAACAAATCACCATTTGAACTTTTGCTTAAAAAGAATCCGGATTATACTTTGTTAAAGAACTTTGGATGTCTTTGTTTTGTTTCTACTAATATGCATGAAAGAAATAAGTTTTCACCTCGTGCTAGACCCTGTGTTTTCTTAGGCTATCCTTCTGGATATAAGGGATATAAAGTTTTAGATTTAGACTCACATGCTATTTCTATTTCACGAAATGTTGTTTTTAAAGAAAGTATTTTCCCTTTCAAAACAAGTGATTTGTTGTCTAAATCTGTTGACATGTTTCCTAATACAATTTTGCCTTTACCAGCACCTTTACACTTTGTAGAAACGATGCCATTGACTGATGAGGATTCTTTGGTTCCTACTACTACTAATAATAATACTAGTAATGCATCATCATCAGCATCTGCATTACCTAGTACCATACTTCCTACTAGTACTGCAGAAACACAGGATTTAGGCCTTAATATTGTACCCATTGCTAGGCCTAAACGTAACACTAAAGCTCCTGCTTATCTCTCTGAGTATCATTGTGCCCTTGTCCCTTTCATTTCTTCACTACCACCTACAAACACTAATCCACCATCCTGTTCTCTTATTTCTCCTATCCCTACAGAAAATCATAATTCATTACCTAAAAAGACTACACCATATCCCATCTCTTCTGTTATCTCATATGATAAATACACACCTCTTTTTCAATCCTATATACTAGCCTATAATACAGAAACAGAGCCTAAGACCTTTGCTCAAGCTATGAAATCTGAAAAATGGACTAAGGCTGCTGATGAAGAGTTACAGGCTATGGAACTTAACAAGACTTGGGTTGTTGAGTCATTGCCTCCGGGTAAGAATGTGGTAGGATGTAAATGGGTCTTTACTATCAAATACAACCCTGATGGCTCAATAGAACGTTATAAGGCAAGACTAGTGGCCCAAGGGTTCACTCAACAGGAAGGGATTGATTTTCTAGACACATTTTCTCCTGTTGCAAAGCTTACTAGTGTAAAACTAATGCTTGGTCTTGCGGCTGCTAAGGGTTGGACTTTGACGCAGATGGATGTATCAAATGCTTTCTTACATGGGGAACTTGATGAGGAAATTTTTATGAGTCTTCCTCAAGGTTATACACCACCATCACATATCAAGCTTCCTCCTAATCCGGTATGTAGACTGTTAAAATCTCTCTATGGCTTGAAGCAAGCTTCTCGTCAATGGTATAAGAGATTTTCTTCAGTCTTATTGGGTGCAAACTTCATACAATCTCCTGCAGACAACACTTTATTTGTTAAAGTGATCTCTGGTTCTTTTATTGCTGTTCTTGTATACGTTGATGACATTATGATAGCCAGCAATGATGATGTAGCAGTGGAGAATTTGAAGACCTTGTTAAGATCTGAGTTTAAAATCAAAGATCTTGGTCCTGCTAGATTCTTTCTTGGTTTGGAGATTTCAAGATCATCCAAAGGAATCTCAGTTTGTCAAAGGAAGTATGCAATAAATTTGTTGGAAGATGCAGGTTTAACTGGATGCAAACCAAGTTCTATTCCTATGGATCCTACTCTACATTTGGTCAAAGATATGGGAACTCTTTTGCCTAATCCAACTTCATACAGAGAGCTTATTGGACGTTTGTTATATCTCACCATAACCAGACCTGATATCACTTATGCAGTTCATCAGCTAAGTCAGTTCATCTCTGCACCATCTGATATTCATTTGCAGGCTGCTCATAAAGTCCTCAGGTATATTAAAACAAATCCAGGCCAAGGATTAATGTACTCTGTGGATTCTGAGATATGCTTGAATGCCTTTTCTGATGCTGATTGGGCTGCCTGTAAGGATACAAGACGATCTATAACAGGATTCTATGTTTATTTGGGAACATCTCTCATTTCTTGGAAGTCAAAGAAGCAGGCTGTTACAAGTAGAAGCAGTACAGAATCTGAATATAGAAGTATGGCACAAGCTACATGTGAGATCATCTGGCTTCAACAACTTCTCAAGGATCTACATGTTCGGGTTACTTGTCCTGCAAAATTTTTTTGTGACAATAAGTCAGCTCTACACATCTCCATGAATCCAGTCTTCCATGAAAGAACGAAACACATTGAGATTGATTGTCACACGGTGAGAGACCAGATCAAGTCAGGTAATCTTAAAGCTTTACATGTTCCAACAGAGAACCAACATGCTGACATACTCACCAAAGCTTTGCATCCGGGTCCGTTTCATCACTTACTTCGTCAAATGTCTTTGTCAAGTCTCTTTCTTCCGAACCAGACACTTCGAAGCTAGAGACTTGAGGGGGGCGTATTGAGGATATAACCGGTTCAATGTTATTGGTTAACTTTGGTTTACTGAGCTGAGATTAATACTCGGTTTAATGCTATGTATATAAGCTTAATCACTCTCATTTTGATGATTAAGTTGTTGTAACAAACATTTGAATGATTAAGAAAAGTTTGTTATCTTCTTCAATTCTCTCTCATTTTCCGATCTAGTTTCTCCGATGTATCAGACTTTATTAAATATCCTACTTTTCTTCGTGTCTTAGGTGTGTCACCGACAAGGAGGTCTGCACTATATTGAATAGCAACAAGACTAGAAATACATGGAAGGGAATGTGGTACCAATATAAGGGATAAAATACTAAGCTCACAAGGTCTTGACGACATGTACTATTGTCCGTACTCCATTCAGGCGCTATGAGGCATGTTTGGCTATGCGAAAATGCCAGAGGTTGGCGCAAGTCATACACCATCCGCTAGGGTTCCGAAGTTAAAAGGATTATTATTGCATTTCAGAGTGGAGACCAAACATAGCAGATAAGTTACCTAAGTTACTGACACTATATGACTGGTAAAAAGGAAGACCTAACCATAGGGATGTGATTATTTCACTAAAAAGATTAAAGCAAAACCTACTAGTACAAATAAGCAATGTTAAAGAATAATATACTATTGACTTCCTCTCTAAACACGATCTGCAAGTTCGATATTCTCCATGAGATAGTGTTGACATTCTCTAACCTCTCTTCACAGTTAGAGGTTAGTTCACTCTTGCACGTTGCAGAACTCCGGTTGGGCTCCGATTTGGGCCTCTTTAAGTTGTAACGTGTAATTCTCTTGGGCCTTCAGCCAAATCCCAGATGGGATTACAAAAATATTTTTAACTACAAAAAAAAAATTTCAGAGAATAAAGAGTTGGGAAAGGGAAAGTAGTACGTTTTCAAAACTTAATAGGAATTATTGTACATTCGCTATTTGTAATTGGAGATTTTTTTTTTGCTCTCTCGCACCCATTTTTTATTATTATTTGGATAAGAAATGGCAACAATCGTAAATATGAGTTATGGATAGGGGTTTGCTTGCCATTACACACAATATCTTTTATTAGTGTAACAGTTTAAAAGTGCGTGTTTTACAAATTATATAAATAGTAAACCGACTACTTTTAAAATTATGTTGCCAAAAACTGCCTATATTGCAACTTATCCCATAAACTTATGGACTACATTTTGTTATTGATCAAATTAAAGGATAATTTTTACAATAACTCACACATACATTTAGTGGTTTCTCTACTTACCACATACACTTGCATCCATACTTTTACTGATCTATACCTTACTTCTAGACATCATTATCCTTAGGTTCACTTACACAAGCAACCTTAACACTACAACAATTATTATACCTAGGCCATGTTCTTTTAAGAAGCGTGTGATTCCCACCGTGTGACTGATTTGTATTAACTGAATTGCCTTTTAAGTTTTTTTCATCTCTTTTTCATCTTTTCTATTTTCTGTCGCTCCGACTAAAAACTTGAGATTTTAGAGTCGCCGGAGAAAACAGCGGTACAACCCAACCCTTAATTTCAAGGAAGCAAGCGTCGCTGGGTTTCAAATTGCTATCATCGCAATTTACAAGATCTGTACATTTATATCATCTTTTTCAACTTAAAAATAATTTTTAATTAAGAGTTATTAAATTTACAGTTATGCTCTTAGAAAAACTCTTAATTACAAGATGGCAAAAAAAACTCAGTTTTTGAAAATAGGTGAGAGTCGCACGATTATGAAAAGAAACATGGCTAATAACAACACTCTTTCTTCGTTGGGCTAACTTAACTAATAGCCCAATAATAATATTATTACAAAACACCTAAAGCCCAACTCATTCTTCTTGTTGACTTGTGCCTCTCTTCTTGTGTCGTTGACTTCTCTTCACGACAACTTCTTCCTTCAATCACGAGCCTTTGCTTCTTCTTTTGCTTGAGCTTCTTCTTCTTATTGTTCTCAATGAAGCTCTCCCTTTTGCAGATTTAATCAAAGGTTCAAATCAAACATAGTTACATAGTCACGGCCAAGGAACATGAAAGAAAGTTCAAAAGAAACAAACTAAAAGAATTTGGCACCAAAAGTGAAAATGTGAAATCAATCTGAGCTTCTCAACTTCAAACCATCTCTAATCCAACGGCTAGGCAGAATCCTTAAATAAAACCATCATCAATACCTTGAAGAAATTTTTAACTGCAACGAAAAGAAATGCTAAGGGCAATTAAAAAATGAATGCAATCGCTTTGAATTGTTACAAACTTCTATGGGCAATTAAAAAATGAATCAGAAAAAAACGACCGAGTAATACTTCTCTGCGCCAAAACGTCACATGAAGAAAAGAAAACGAAAAGAACAAGTTTTTTGAATTTGGTGTAAACTCAAAATCAAACCTAGATAGAATCTAAATTAGATTAGACAAAATGAAACAACATCCATTCAATATTTTACTAAATAGAGAACGCACTTTTTACTTTTTAGTACCTGATAGTACTATCAAACCAACCAAAATACGAGTTATCAAACCTAATAAACCAGAAAATCCAAAATAAGAGAAAAATATTTAAACCAGAGAACCATAGTTTAAGAACTTAGTTGTAGTAAAATCCAAAATAACACATCAGGTACAGAGTTTTTTTTTCGCTAAAGAGTTCTTTGGTACCAAAACAAAACCATAGTCTCCAACTTTACCTGATGGTTCCGTCCAAAAAAAGCCATTGGAAAGGCTCCTACCTACTTGCTTCATGCCAGATTACACAGCAGTCGCAGAAACTGCTGTGTCGGTGTCCAACTTAATCCGTTTCTTTGGTTGCTCAGCATCTTCAGACTCGGCCAGAGTTTCTTCTTCAGCGTTGGTACCTGAACCTTCGCCTTCGCCTTCATCTACAATCTCGGCATTGTCCACTTCCTGATTCTTCAACCTCTCTATGACCTCCATGACTTCTCTATTTACCTGTTTACACATTTCACCAAAAAGATTAGTCCTCACTTTCTGTGATCATAATAATGGTAAACATTGTATGATCAAATTTGCTACAGCTTCACTTTTCATGAATGGAAAGCATCAAATAAGTGAATGACATACTATCAATCCACTCAAAATTATAGTTTATATTACAAATAAACCTATTCCTACACAATCACATGACAAAATGAATAATCTATAGACGGTCTGTAAGTATTTGATAATGCTTGGCAGATAACGAACTAGAAACAGACATATTACCATTGAACCAACTTCATCTAATTCCAGCAAAGTCAAAAAAAATGCTAATACTTGTATTCATATAATATGATATGAAAGGAGAAGAAGAAGATAAGATGATATTTCACCTGAGGGTTCTGGAGAAAATCAGAAATGTCAGTGGGGCAACAAGGGCAGTTCATCACATTCTTCTGTGCTCGTAGAGTTCGTCCACCTCTGCTTCTCTCCCTCACTAGCGTTTTCCCAGCAAACTTGGCTTCTAAGCATGCCTTGCAGAAGTTATGAGCACACGGCGTGGTCACTGGAAGAGTCAGCACTTGCCGACAAATCTGGCACTTAAATTCTGCATCAACAAAATCCAATGACAATTTAGATGGATTCGGAAACTAAGCTATATAAAGAAAGAGTTGGATAGTTGTGGTTCATATTAATAGTTAGGAGAACCATTTTGGAAACATTGAGTTCCTGATTCTAAAAGTTCTCAGGGAATGTTTAGCTAGAGTCTCATTTCTAGAAAAGGTAATCTTGAATTGTTTAGAAAGGCAGTCTTAGAAATATAAACATAATGCACAAAGAACTCATTCGGCAAAAAGGGAAAAAACTATTTAACATTATAACAGCAGAGGTAGAGAATTTGGACACACAGACCTTTCAGAAGTTTTGCCCTCATGGTATTCGAGTGTGCTGCCTTTATGACTTTCCTCAAAGTTTTCCTCTCCTCAGGATCCAAAACATTCACTGACTTTTTACTAGCAGGTGGCGGCTTCATCCATCTCCAAGAACCCTCAGCTTCCTGGTCAAGTAGGCCTATGTTATTAGTGGGTACAGATAAAGAACTGTTACAATAGAGATGTCTTGGAACTTACATCAAAATCCCATGATGGACTTTCTTTTCTCTCAAATAGGTCTGTGGCCATATTCAGCTCTGGAATATTAGGCAAAGGTCTTGGACGATCTCCATGCTCATCACTGCAATATATCACATCATTAAACTCAAATGGTATGTGTACAGAAAAGGCACAGCTTTCAAGAAGTAGATCAAACCTAGTCCATGGAGCTGGCTCATTATCACATCTAACAAACAGGTAACGACAGACCATGAAAGAACCCTATGGAACACAGAAGAATAGGTCAATGCATAAAAAGATCAGTGACATAAACAGTTGGTAGATATGTGTACCTGTATTCCAACTTTCCGCCAGCACTTCTCTATCCGGTACACCCCATCATATCTCACTCCCTCCTCAGGGGCATATGCAGAACGCTTCTCCTTGTGAGACCTGATCATATGTGGAAAAGGTAGTTAAAGAGTTAGGATCAACAAGCTTTAATGCAATGGAGTTATGCTCGAATAACAGCTAACCTGACAACTCGAACAGGATACCCCAGTTTGCAGCTAAGTCTTAAGGCTTCATTAGACTTTTCAAATTTTTGATCAAAGGACTGCTCCTTGTTAGTCCTTTTGTTGCCACTGAGATCTCTTCCCCCACTGTGTGACACATTCAAGACAAAAAGAGACGAAATCTATCAGTAAATTGAAGAATAGCGCGAGAAGTAAAATATACCAAATGTGATTAATGTAACAATCGAGTCATTAGAATAAACCAAATGAACCATACGCTAGAAGAAATGAAAAGCAGACCTTCCTGTGTATAGAAACCATTCTCCATGATCCTCATCATCCTCATAACCTCCAGAGAGTGCTACAGATTGAGCTCCATAATTTGATTGTCCAGCAATGCCAGCAACATGAGGGAAATGAGCCCCCCACTGCCTACACTCGAGTCTGTCTTCCCAGGATTCTCCAACCAAAAGACCTTGGTTCCTGACAGGATCGTTTTCAGCTGGTATAGGACCAAAGTGATCTGGTGGTATTGTAACATAAATCCTTCCACTAGCAGCGTTTGCCTTCCCAGTTTTCTTTGCACGCTCAGTTGTAAATGCTTTATCTGGTCGGTCTTGATTGCTTATGAAATGAAAGACCTTTGAAGTACCCGCAGCAGCACTTTTAGATACTTTCGCTAATCTAATAGCAGACACAAGGGACGAGTTGATACGGGGATTCTTAGCCATTTTCTCCGGAATAACGCTTCGGCATTTACCACAAGTTCGCTTGCCCTGCCCCATCCACTTCTCAAAACATTTCAAGCAAGCGTTGTGCCCACATGGTTTCTGAAAAAAAGAAACATACAAGATATCCATCAGCCCTACTTAATCTAGCCTTCATTTTTGTCAAAAAGGATTTCTTTTGTAAAGAAGTCAACACCTATAAAGTCAGACAATATTGAATACTCATCAAAAACAAAAGTTTATACTTCAAAAACACCAAGACAAACAGATCCCATAAACGGCAACTAAACAACAATATAGAAAAGATCAACCATCAACAAAATTTCAACAACACAGTAAATTACTCCAACTAAATAATCCAACCCAAAAGGGCAAATAACAGGATAACTTAATAGGTATATTGAGACAGTTTGTCAAAAGGATCGATTAATTGAGTCAATAAAGTCTATGCCTTTGTATCACGCAGCTTAATTGTGGTATGTCACAATCATAACCAATAATGTGAGCCAACATTTAAGCAGAAACACTAAACAGATTCACCAAAAGAAGTATCAAATCAGGTCAAATAATCCAGAGATAACACATTAGATACACTAAATTAACAAGCAAAAGAGCAAAGACAAAGAGAACGAACCGTCACAGGTCTCTCAGGCAATTGCATACAGAAAGAGCACATCAAGTTATCTCCAAGAGCAGATAAAACATCGAGATTTGAATTCTTCCCTTTACTCTTCTTCTCTTCTTCGTCATCCTCAACGACGCCTTTACCACTTAATAACTGTTGCCTCTTCTTAGCTTTCTCTTCAGTACTCAACGACTCATCAGCCTCAATCGCGCGAATCGCTGCAACAAGATCTGAACCAACAGATCCATAACCAGAAACGTCGCCGGAAACAGGAAGAGGATCGATTTCGCCGGAGCAATCAGGACAATGCCACTGTAGAGTGGAAGCTAGGGTTTCGGGTGGGGTTGAGAGACAGGACACGTGCCACGGCGTAACGCACGTGCCGCAAGTGAGAGATTCTTCAGGCGGAGGTTTGGATTTGCATCGCATGCATACACCGTCGCCGTCGCAGGGGAGTTGGATGTCACGCGCCATTTTTGGGGGAAAAAGATGTGAGAGAGAGAATGGTTTGTTTTCGAGATTGTGAGAGATATGGGAGAGAGGAAGGTTCTAGAGAATTGGGAATTTTAAGAGAGGGAGACGAAAAAGTGAAGAGGCGGGTTTTTAAAAAATTTGGGAGTACGAGAGGAGAGCAGTGTAATATTTTGAAATTCAAAACTATATTTGTATATATTAAAATAAATAATAAAAAAATGAAGAGATTTTGCGTATGTGTTGTCTTGTCACTAGATTTTCTCGAAATACTATTTTTTACTTTTTAAATTAAAAAAAAGGAAAGAATATAATATAATTAAATTTTTAAAAAAAAATCTTAATATTCAAATTGGAATGAAGGGGAATAATCATTTTTAATAAATTAAAGAAAAAATTAGAAATAAAAAAATATCTAATAAATAATTTGATCATATACGTTGGACAAAAAAACTATATATGCTTTGGAAAAAAAAAATTGGTGATTTATTTGAAAAAGTTGATTTTCTTTACAGATAAAGTTTCATCTAAAATTATTGGAATATGTTTTCTAGTATTTTAAGAATATCAAAGTTTCTGTTAGACCTGTGCATAATCTCCGAAACCCGAATACTGTACCGGACCCGACCCGACCCGAAAATACAGAGATTCAAGTAAGGTTTCGGTTAAAGTCTATAAACCGAATGGGTAATATGATTGCTTTGCATCGGGTTCGGTTTCGTTTGGGGTATAAACCAAAACCCGATCGGTTAACCGCCCATATTGAATATACACATACTTATATATCATGTATAAAGTTCATGTAAGGATATGTGTAGTTAAGAGGAGTAATCATATATTCACAAACCCAAAGATATCGAGACTCGAGAGCACATATCTCTGACTTCCGATATTCTCTCTGATTCTCTAGATTGCTTTTGCCGTTTCCACTTCTCCACTTGATTGATTCGTTTTCTCATCTTAACGCATATATAAACCCCAAATTGGCAAACTAGAAACCGTAAATCCCCTAAACGATTCACGAAAAAGAGCTAAACCTACTCTATCAGCTTCTTCGACAAATCAATCGTCCGTTTGTGTTTCTCCTTTCTCGTATTCTCTTATTCAAGCATTGTAATTTTGTGCTTAATTTTATTTTGTATTTCAGTTTCTTATGCATCTTAGATTCTTAGATTTGTGACTTTGTGTGAATGTGAAGGTGTGATTATTAGGTTCTTGTGATTGTTATTGTTATTGAATTAGTGGATCTGTTGGTTTTTGGATTTGTAGGAAAAGATTCTCTTATTGAGATTTTCGTTTTGTTTGCTACATAAAAAAGTAAATGTTTAGTGTCATTAGTCTCATTTGAAATTGTAACTTTTTGATTTTTGAGACTGAGCTTTCAATTTAACTTTTATTTGTGATAATCTTTGATTGTTGCAGATGGATTCTTCTTCACCCCCTCAAAGACAACAAGATGAATTTCAAAATGATGATAAATCCTAGAGAAGTGAAGAAGATGTGGTGACACCTACTCATGAATCTAGAAACAAAGGAAAGGACATGGTGATACTTTAGGAAAATTTAAGGCAAAGAAGAAAGGTATTTCTAGTTCTTCTAGGTCAAGGGTATGAGATCATTTTACAAGAACTGCGAAGAATAAGGATAAGTGTACATGTCATTATTGTGCTAGAGTTATGTGTTGTGCAACATGAAATGGTACTTCTTGTTTAAAGACATCTAGGTATTTGCAAAGAATACCAAGTATGGAAGGATAGTAATGCTCAGAGTCAGCATATTTTGAATCTTGGAGGTAATGGTGGAAGTGGTAATGGGAATCTGATATTAGCTAAAGTTTCTGAAGATGTTATTAATGAAATGCTTGTCTTGGGTAAATTGCCACTTGCGTCAGTTGAAAGCTTGGCTTGGAGACATTTTGTACTCGGGTTAATCTTTCGAAACCTCAGTCTCGGAGGACAGCTACTAGAGAGATTGTGCAGATGTATGTGAAAAGGAAAGCTGCTATGATGAAGGTGCTTAGTTCTAATAACCAAAGGGTTTCTCTTACAACTGATGGTAACATCGTATTTTAGCCCACTTTTACTATGTTGTATTTAGGTTTTTCACAGAGAAAACAAGAAATATTTGAGATTTCAAGGATGTTTGAAGAGTACAATAACCAGGGAGAGACTCAATGTGTCATCATCTCAAATGGCTGGGACGTCATCTGTTGGAGGACAAAACTCACAAGATCCTGATTTGTTTGACAAAATAGATTTAGAGAATGATTCTGGATATGAAAGAATAGATTTTCTATACAAAGAGATGGTGAATGAGATAGGATTTGCAAATACAAGTTTTGAGCTGGAGTTATATTTGAAAGAGAAAGTGGAAGTTGTAAAGATCAATCCGCTTGGAATACCATTTGATGTCATGGGATGGTGGAGGACCAACAACTCAAAGTATCCCGTTTTATCTGTAATAGCCAGAGATATACTTGCAATGCAAGTGTCTTCGGTTGCATCTGAATCTGCATTTAGCAATAGTAATCGCATCTTAGATCCTTTTAGGAGTTGCTTCAGAATTCATAAAAATGATGTTATTGGAGGTGAGCTATTTGATCACATGGACTAGATAAGCTGGAGGTTTAGTTGCAATGAAGAAATAATTGTGTGGTTAGTTATCTATTTCTTTTGAATGGTGGTTTGATGCTTAATTTATCTTGAAATCTTCAATGTGTTAGTCTTTCTACTTAGATGGATTTGATCAAATTAGGTGATGGATCCATCAATTTTTACCCTTGTTAAATTGTTCTAAACTTCATATATTAAATTAAGCTAGTAAGCTCTAACATTGGCAGGTACATTTCACTGGTTTTGATATGAGACATTTAAAGAAAATGGAAGTCTGTTACGAATTAGAAATTTAGTCAAGAATATCATGAACACATACTTGTGGATGCTGGAGCATAGTTTCTTCAATGTGTTAGTCTTTCTACTTAGATGGATTTGATCAAATTAGGTGATGGATCCATCAATTTTTACCCTTGTTAAATTGTTCTAAACTTCATCTATTAATTTAAGCTAGTAAGCTCTAACATTTTTTTTTTTGGTAGGTTGGGGGAGAGACAAAGTCTCCCCCTTTTTATTAATGCAAAAAATTAAAATTACATCCGCACATTGCGTGCCCTCGTCAACCCGCTAGCATCCTCTAAACAAATAGAGGCTACACAGTCCGGTCTAGAGTCTAACATATGAAAACCAAGAGGTAAAGAAAAAGCATAGTTCACTAACCCGTCGGCAAGACGGTTAGCTTCCCTATACACGTGAGAAATTCGGACTATCTAGTCTTTTGCCAGAAAGCCATAGCACAGCCGTACTAGGAAGGACAGTGGATGAGCATCGCTAATCCCTGTCGAAAGAAAATCAACCACAATTTGTGAGTCAACCTCGAGCTCTACCCGCGTTGCTCGACGCTCCCACGCAATGAATAGTCCATAATATACGCCCCACAGTTCCGCCATCGGAGCAGTACATATCCCAATATTCACTGCAAAACCGCCACCCCAGTGTCCGTTCGCGTCTCTGATAACTCCACCCGCTGTTGCAATGCCTGGGTTACCGTGTGATCCCCCATCCGTATTCAACTTTATCCAGCCTTCTTGCGGTGGCACCCAACCAATCTGTCTCTCTATCCTCATCCCGCCACTCTGTTGTCTTACCAACTTCTCATGGAAATCCGTCACCTCTTTTGCTAACTCCTTAACAAAGCGAACTCTATCTCGACATCTCTTAATCGTACCAAACACATTACCGCATCGCCATTTCCATCCCCACCAAACAACAATTGCGTATAATGTTGACCATTGGCAGCCCTCCACCTCGCTGCGGTCACTGAGGTTGTCATAAAACCATTCGAGCAGTGATTTAGCAAAAAATGTTCTTATCTTTCTCGGAGGAACTATCCTCTCCCATATTCCAGAGATTGCAGGACAATCCCTATAAGAACGTGTAATATCGATTCTGCTCCACTCTTGCATATAGGGCAGATATCCGTGTCACTTAAGTGTCGGCGATGGCGTTCAACATTAGTCATAATCACTTGATTCATGGCTAACCATAGGAACAGCTTAACTCTCTCCGTCACCATTGTTCTCCACATCGTATTAAACAGTCTTCCAACCTGTTGTCTCGGTGATTCATCGCGGACCAGCAGCGCGTATGCGGACTGTACCGTGAATTTTCCATCAGCTTCTTCTCCCCACGATAACCTGTCTTTCGCACCCGTCACATTATCCAAGACGATCGCTGCCAGTCTCAGGTACATTTCACTGATTTTGATATGAGACATTTAAAGAAAATGGAAGTCTATTACGAATTAGAAATTTAGTCAAGAATATCATAAACACATACTTGTAGATGCTGGAGCATGATTTTAAAGTTCTTCTTCTAAAGGAACCATTAAGTACCTGAAATTTCAGAAACTATGACTGGATCAAGCAACCAATGCCAGGTAATTTATTTTTTATTTCATTACTCCAATTTGTATACAACTCGTAAGTAATTTAATCTTCATTTCACTTTGAAACGAGTATGTTCATCACATGCATGACACATTATTGTGTATTTTTTTTTGGTAATTATCACACAAGCTACTTCATTGAAGATACTAGAGGTATGATAAATTGATAATGGCTTAAAGTTGTGTTGTTCTTTAATAGTTTACTCTAATCATCGTATATGTCATGTTTTGAACTTGTGTGATAATTAAACAGTCGATCTCGAAGTCTAAGAAACTCGTAGAGGACTTGAAGAAGATAGAATAATGCAGAAGGAGAAGCTAGCAAGAATGTCATGACAGAGTGGTAGATTTAATGGATTTTTTATGTAATGTTTGAAAACATGGTCAAGACGTATATCTTATGTTTTATGTTTGTATCCAGATAATTGACAGTTGTTATGTGTGCTATTTATTTGAGTTATTAATTTATAATGAATTTATTGTTTTCTTTCAGTTTTTCCTAATTATAATTTAATGTAAAATTAGTATTAATGGTTGTGTGTATACGTCGGTTTTGAAAGAGATGTTAGTGTGACGCTTTTGAATCATTTTTCAAACAGTCGTTAAAATCTATAAAAAATGACGCTAGCATATTTGACGTTAAACATAACGTCGTTTTTTTAAAGTGAAGCAAAATAAGTTAAAGTCGGCCAATAATACGTCAATTTTGTAACTGACGTAAAGTTATTTAAGTCATTTAATAAGTGACGTTAAGGTAAATAAAAACTAACATTAATAGCCTTCTTTTTTGTAGTGTATAGAAATATCATGCAATAACATAACTTTTTAGAGCTTGGGTTCACCGGGTGTAACTATGATCATTGGTTCATAAATTGATACAAAAAAAGGTGTAACTTTTGTCGTCGTCGTCGTCGTCATCGTCGTCGTCATCGAAATACTTGTAACTATGATCATTGGTTCATAAATTGATCACAAAAAAAGGTTTACGCTTGCGACACGGTTACACTAACGCAATCGACAGTTCAACACAATGTCCCAAAACGACGACCAAGGACTCCATGAGTGACGGTGAGGGATTCGAGTGTCAGTGGCTTTGCCGGTGAACGGCGTTGTTGGCTTCGTCGTTTAACGTTGTCGATGGATTTTCCGGTGAAACCATAAGATTGAGAGAGATCGACAGTGAGAGATTTGACACCGAGAGAGATCGATGATTAAGCGATTTAAGAAAATTATGTTTATTTCGGTTTACTAAAATTGGTTTAGTTATTTAATTCGGTTATATTTGTTTTACATATTTGATTTCAATTATTTAATTTTTATTGGTTTGGTTATGGATAACCCATTAATCCATTTTAAACCAAACCATTTCAATCTAACTCATTAAACTCATTAAACCATTTAATCCATTAATCCATTAATATCCAAATTTTCAACTCATTAGATTCATGAGTTGGATTGGTTTGGATTGATCCATCAATTTTATCCCATTTTGACACCCCTAGTTCACCCTTAGGGGTGAACTTATTTTAACCAATAAAATTGCCATGTCATTTTATATTTAAATACAAATTAAAAATTAACAAATAAAAATAAAACATATTAAAATGAAATCATTTATAAACATATGAATTTAGTTAAACCCAAACTAACACATAATCTCCTTTAATTGTATAAGATAAACCCTAAATCTTATTTATAAACCCAAAACGATATATAATATCGTTTAATTATAAAATATAAACCCTACTCCTTCTTTATAAACCCAAACCGAAATATAATCTCGTTTACTTGTAATTGTAAAATCTAAACCCTAATCCATATATGTAAACCGAAACCAACATATAATTTTGTTTAATTATAAATCTATACCCAAATAACTTTTTTATAAACCCAAACCAACATATAATTTTGCTTAATTGTAAAATCTAAACCCGAATTCACATTAGTAAACCCAAACCGACATATAATTATTTTTTTAATTAAAAGTATACAGATTTTGTTTCCTTATTTTTTTTGTTTTCGGAATTTAATTTTGATTTATTTTTTAAAAAAATATTACATGGCACAATGCTGTATTTTGATTGGATAATCAAATGGGCGGTGAATAAGAGAGGTTCACCCCTAGGGATGAACCCAAAAAAATTTCAACTTTTTATTCATATAAATTAATTTACAAACTAAATTTTAATTATTTTAATAATTTATATCATACAATTGTAGTTGCAGTTACGTCATTCAAAAATTTAGGTTTATTGATTAGCGATTTCAGTTTAAATTTTGATAATACATAAAAAATTTGTCGGTGTTAAAATGTATACACTATATGTTCATATAGTTTAATTTTTCAACTGAAAACACTATACATTTAATATTAACAAAATTTTTAAATAGCAGTTTCCTTATTTAAAATTTTGATATATTTAGTTCTAGTAAGTTTATTAAATAAGAATAAGTAGTATATGAAATTAAAAGTGTTTGGCAAATGGAGAGTTGAATTAAATAAATAAAAAATAAAGCATATGAGAATAATTGTGGGTTTGACACATAAGCACAAAAAAACTCTCTTTTAATATATAGAGGATTCCACCACAAATGTAGAAAGATATTAAATTATCATAGTTTATATATTAAATTGAAATGCTACCTTGGTTTTATTTATGAAACACATAAAGCCCATACAAAATATCATTATTCAATAAATACATTAGTTAAATAGATATATAAATAAAAAGAATAACAAATGCGAGATAGCATTACTAGATTAAGAAATAAATATTCCTACATACTAAAAATAAATTTGGTATCTTTCCAATATAATTTGATTACATCACCTGTTTTGAGACTTCTAGCATCTTTGATATTTTTCCACCCATTTCCAATATAAGGACCCTTTTGGTTTTCTCTAAGGTTTACCCAATAAGAATTGTTATTGTCCAAAATTTCCACTTGAATACCATTTCGAGGTATCGGCACTCCCGTACTCCTTACTATGTTCTCGACATAATCTTTTGGTAAATACAAAGCATTACTATAGGAAAGATCGCTGTCTTTTAGTTTTTTTACTAGCATCATATTTGGATTCATCTTACTTAAGTGTATTATGAATAATGCTTTCAAAAATGAGATATTTGAGGATTTTGAAGAATTAAAGCATATATTTATATATAACTCTTGACCAAAATAATGGTCTTTATCTTTTATGTTTATTTTAAAAGTAATAATTCTATTAAAAAAAATCTTTAAATTTAGTAAAAGTTGCGGATATATATTTAAAGCATATGATTAATTTTCTTAATTTAAAAATTTATAGATTAAATTAATCATATATTCTTATTATGCAAAATTGTAATTTACAATAACCTTATTTTGGTCCTTTTTAAAAAAGTATTCTTATATATTTAAGTTAAATCTATGATAATATCTAAGAAACATAAACTCTATTAATGTTATAGAAATACACTTCCAAGCCCTCTAAAATTAATAATTTTTTAAATTTACATATTTACATCTAATATATCTTTAGTTTTTACTATAACTCCTATTAATTTTAACATTGTTATTTTAAAATTTTAAAATCACTATTAATAAGAAAAAATCTAGTTAAAATAATTTGGCATTAATGTTTTGCTAAAACACAAAGTGTATTGGATTAGAGATTTCAAAAGAATTTACTTTTTCTTTAAATAATTCGTTATTCAACTAATGAGTTTTAAATGTCATCTCAAATCCTATATTAGTGAACATTGAATTTATGTAAAGTAATTCATAGTCATTTACAATCCTTTGTTATTTAATCAACGATTTGTAAAAAATAATTAAAAATCCACTTTTATTCAAAACTTCATGATTTTTGTAAGAAATTTGTTTGGAAGGATTAAGGAGTTTTCACATATACTTTCATTAGGGAAGACTTTAAAAATAAATAAAAACTTCCTTAGAAATTTTTTGCAGAATTCGATCTTTCATCAACCTATTTTCTTCTCATGCTTCTTCTAACTCGAATCTATCACTCTTTACACTGATTACTTCGTTGTTCTCAAATCAATAGCTTCCATATATAATTAAGAATTTTGATTCTTAAAAAAAGTTGAGTTTCAGAATCTTTTTAAGGGTTATAGACTTCTCATCGGGGGAGAAAAGCTTTGGAGACTTATAATATTTCGGAAATGATGATGATCATAAAGCTATAAAGAACTCATATGTCTTATGCTTCTCAAAATAAAATCCTCTCTACAATCTATTCTATCTCGTTGGATTTTACCGCGAAGGATTAACTAAAATCTTCAAGGGAAGGAAGATGTAGGAAAGAAGTTTTGAGTTTTCATTTTGGCTTATGTGATATTCAAATTGCTCATAGGGGAATATCTGTAATTTAGAAACTATAATAATCATCGAATAAACCATGGGATATCTCTTCTCTCTCCCCATAAATCTTTAAAAACAAGTAAACAAAGGTAAAAATAAATGAATCCTTCACCTAATTTGTTCAAATTCATCCAAGTAGAAAGACTAACACTGAAGATTTCAGGATAAATTAAGCATCAAACCACCATTTAAAAAGAAATAGATAACTTTTGTTCAAAAAAAAAAAAAAAAAAAAGAAATAGATAACTAACAGTAACCACACAAATTTTCTTCACTGGAACTAAACTTTCACCTGATCTAGTCCATGTAATCAAAAGCTCACCCCCAATTCGTTTATGTGCCTTTCTCCTCTCGCTGAAAATGAACAAAGTCGAGCTTCTTTACAAAACAATGCAAGATGAACATTGTAACATCATTTTCTGAGTTCTGAAGCAAATAAAACCATCAAATCGAAGACAAGGTAACAAGAATTCATCATCATGCCACCTAATAAGCTTCACATTCAAAGTAATTAATTCCAAACTCAATCAAGTAAGTAGTTGGTAGAATCATCAAAATAGACACCGAAGGCCACAACATGAACAAAATTCACAGAAACGGAGTGGAAGATCTAAGCAGACTCAAAATTCATAATAAAATCACCTTAAAATCAAGTTAGGATTTCTGAAATTGGTAACACTATCTCAAAATTCTTCACGAATCCATTGTTATTCAGGTATATATACACATCTTTTTCCTATCATCTCTAACTCACATATATACATTAACTATTGGATTTGAATCTAGATTACACGGCGGTGGTCATAAATATACAAGTTTATATAATATAAAGTTTTGATGATATAGTTTAATCTTGTATTAAAAATAAATTAAATGTTTCATATGACAGACTTTACTAGATGATAAGATTGGTATATATAGTGTTATCGCCTTGGTGGCTTCAGCCTTCCGACACCACTTCTTTTGCTGACAAAGAAGCCGTTGAACGAGGCCTTGCCTTAGAAGTAGATTGGTACGTTATATTTTAGAAATAAAATGAAAATTATATATTTTGGAATCATACAAATTTATTTCTCATCTTCTTAATGTATGTTTGCTACGCATTTACATCCGGTGATTTACGGAGATTATCCTGAAATAATGAAAAAACATGTTGGGCATAAGCTCCCTTCTTTCACACCAGAACAATCAAAGATGTTGATAAACTCATTCGATTTCATTGGAATAAACTATTATAGCGCTCGATACACCGCTCATCTTCCTCACATTGATCCTGGTCGAGCTCGATTCAGAACTGATCAACATTTTGAGGAGAGAGGTAAGGATGCTAACTAAAATCCCAATAATTTTATTTTTCTTATATGATTGATGAATTAAAGTGAAACTCATATAGAAACTAAACTATTCTCTATGTAGACATCATTTGTGAGCAGTCACAAATCACAGTAACCACCAAATCGGACCAGCGGTATGTAACGTTTTAATCATATATAACCCAAAATTTTTGAAACTATTTAACAATCTATATATTCACATAATTTTAAGAACATTTATTTTCTTTTCTTTCATGCAGGATGATAAAGGCATACTACACTCATACCCAGAAGGTTTCCGAAGAGTTCTTTACTACATCAAAGATAAATACAATAACCCTATCGTCTATATATAAAAGAGAATGGTGAGAAAAAAAAAATAAGGAACCTTTTTCTGTAAATAAATTTTTCTTTCTCTTAGTTAATGGTTAAATTGAATAATTCTTTTTTCTTGATTAAATTTTTTATTTGCTAACTTATTCTGCAGGAATTAATGACTATGATGATGGATTAAAATCACGGGAAGGGATTCTCAATGACACATTTAGGATAAGCTACCATAAGGACCATCTTAAACAACTTCACAAAGCTATAATGTAAACTCCGGTCCACAGGTTACATATACATATTAAAATTCTGATTGATTTAAATGCTTAAAATATATATGTTTTTAACCATATTAAAATAGTTTTCTAACCCTTTTATCAAACATTATTTTGAAACTGTAAACGCAAATGTAACTATTATATTGGAGTTTTTCTTTATATTATTTAAAACATCAAATATTAATATATGCATTGTGAAAATACTAAAGAAATATACTTTTATTTTATTGTATATATACATAATATACTCAATAAAATAAAATGCTAAACTGTTTGCAGTACCCATTTTTCATTTGCTAATAACTTATGGATTTGTCTTTTTCTTTTTCAAAAATTATCCACTAGGCCTGGGCAAAAAACCCGTACCCGAGTACCCGAACCGGACCCGACCCGAAAAAACCGGTTCGGGGCGGGTACGGGTATGTGAGTTTTACACTGTTGGGTTCTATAATTGCTTACCCGTGGGTATCGGGTCGGGTTCGGGTTTTACCCGATACCCGATAGTGTAAACCGAAAACCCGATCCGCTTAAATGCCCTTAGGTTTAGTCTCTAACCCGATTAACCTTTTGACTATTTAGCTTCTTCCCTTTGCTCGATTCTAGAACCCTAAACCCTAAACCCGATACCCGATGGTGTAAAAAATGTATTCCACAGTGTAAACGGGTAGAAAATACCCGAACCCGACCCGAAACAAGCAAGAACCGATATTTTCGGGTTTTTACCAGTTCTCAAATCTGATACCCGAACCGACCCGAACCCGACCATACCCGAACCGAAACCGAACCGATGTTTCGAGTTTACCCTATTGGGTCCTATATTACCATACCCGACATACCCGAACCCGATCGGGTTTTACCCGAACCCGACCCGCGGACCCGAATGCCCAGGCCTATTATCCACTATCATTTTTACCAAATTAATTCAATACTTCAACTGTTATAACAGAGAGGATGGATGTGACGTCAGAGGATATTACATGTGGTCTTTACTAGACAACTTCGAGTGGGAATATGGATACTCAGTCAGATTTGGTCTATACTATGTTTGACTACGAATACAATCTCAAACGGTATCCTAAAAATTCGGTTAACTATTTCAAACAGTTTCTTAGTAGACGGGTAGTGAAAACTGAAGACACACATAATGAAGAAGTATGGAATGTGTCATGAGGAAGAAAATTATAACAATAAGGCTGATTCAGAGAGTTTCCAGACTTCATATGATTCTATTGTCAATCTCATGAAAAATAGATCGAGAATAGAAGAAGAAGAAGAAGAAGAAGAAGAAAAGAAAGATTTATGTGCTATATTTGAGAAACCTAATCATCAGTTGTGTTGAAGCACGTGACTCTATAGATGTTCTAGTTGTGTCATATTTTTGTAATCTATGTGTATATATAACCAATAAGGGAAATATCCAGTCTAGTTAGTTATATTCGTGATTATGGGTTATAATCACGTGAAACTCGTAGGTTGTATATATGTTCTTTCGTTCTTTGTTGTTTGTTTGAAAATGAATCATATGAGAAGCTTTAAGTTAGAAGATAAGAGAAACACGCGCTGATCAAATAATTCAACACGAAACCTCATATCTCTCAATGCATCTTGTGTTGCATACACAACACGTAATCCACATAGGAAAACAATATTTACATGTCCAATGTGCTCGTACTCAGCTCGTAGCCTAAATCTTCAAGTTGCGGGTCTTCAAGTTCACGGCACATAGCTAACCAATAGGAGCTTGTTTTTCAAATTGTGGGTCACAAATGCTATATGCCCACAAACAGTCTCAACTAGCAATTTTGACTCTAATGT